ACGGATAATCGAATTGTAGGCTACAATATAGGCTGATACATGTTTCTCTGTTGTAAGCAGAGACGTTAAATTAGGCCATACGCTATTGGACAGGTTAGGTGATTTTTGCTGCATGCTCTCTACTAATCCATTATTCACGACGACGGTTAATTTATTCACGTGACACCGGACGTGCCCTGGTCTCCCCCACGGCCAGATCAAATTAAGTTGAAAAAAAATCTGAGCGAATAGGCATGATAAGCATGATTAGGGGTAAACACACCTAAAACTACACACACCTCAGGATGGACCTCCTGCATATGGCAGTTCAAGACGATGACGAGGAGGTGATATACATATGTACGCTCTCCTTCGCGATAGACGTCAGAAAAGGCTGATAACCTATGATCCTGAATGGCCAAGTTTTAATTTGGGTACCCTTACTAACGATCAGTGTTTGAACGACTTTCGCTTTGAAAAGGAAGATGTAGCCTATATCGCTTGGTACAGTTATTAAGACTTCCTGACACGATAACTGTAAGTAACAGATGCCGGTGCAGCGGACTTGATGCCTTATGTATGGTTTTAAGGAGATTTTCGTACCCAAATCGACTGAGTGATTTGGAAAGATTTTTTGGTCGACCTGCATCGACCTTATCCATGATCATCGATCACACTGTTGGTCTACTCTATGACAGTCATCATCATCATCACCGTTTGGATACACTAGATAATCCGTGGTTGGGTCCTGCACAACTTCAAATTTATGCTGATAAAATACATGAGAAGGGTGCGCCGCTGCAGAACTGCATAGGATTTGTGGATGGCACGGTTCGTCCTATAAGCAGGCCGGCCAACACGCCATCAACGTGTATGTTACAATGGACACAAGCGCATTGAAATTTCAATCAGTAGTGATACCTAGCGGGTTGATTACGCATCTTTATGGTCCTCTAGAAGGGCGAAGACATGACTATGCACTGCTTCGTTTGAGTGGATTGGAACAAATGGAAGCTAGAGCTTATTTATAGGACCGGGTAGTGTGGTCCGATATACCGGTTAATTCAGGATCCTTAGGTGCCGAGTCTGGTAGTTGGGTAGGCCTGAAAAAGGGAATTACATGTACGGGCAGTGTAGGGCCTATATATACGGGCACCGTACGAGCATCGCATTTCAAATGTTAAACACTTCTAACTCGACCGCTTGCATGCAAATTCATCGATGCAGTAGTTGCCGACATATGGATACTTTTTTGACAGAGCCATGATTCACCATTGAAACTGAAATATTGCATATTAGATGTCAAGTGTACATGTAATGGGCTACGGGCATTTTAATCTGGACTAGCTAGGTAAAGATAGGCCTACTCATTCTCAATACATAGGTCCATTCGAAGAAAATAGAAATGTGAACAATGAAGGACATGTGAAATATATAACATTGGTCAAAAAGGTTGTCCCACCCCCAGATTCATGTGCTTTTATTTATAAATGATCACATCACAGGAGAAGATGATTATAAATAGTGATTTTCATTCCAGACTCAATAACTAACATGATTAGTGATACGGAAAATACAAACTAGCGGTGAAGATATCAATATTTAATACCATTTATTCACATTTATTGCATGTACCCTCCCATACCCGACGTTTCAAAGTGATTTTCACAGAGGTAAAGAAATATCTATTAAATTGAAATGACACCACCAAATGTCACCAAATTTACACACATTTAGCATTAGGGGGTGCTCGTTAAAGGCTCCTTGTCTTATAGCGTTTGTGCTTACCACGAACTGCAATTACCTCCTGTAGGTGGCATGGCCTGCCTTCAACAAGGGTAACAATTCTGTTTTATGGGATATTGTCCCATTCTTCCTAAAGAGCTTGGGACAGTTGGTCCAGATTATTAAGAGTTTGGTTCTCCTTTGCATTGCACACTTCAATTCATGCCACAGATGTTTAGAAAGGTTAATAACAGGGCTTAAAGATGGTTGCTCCATCCTCTGAACATTGGGTTTCTGCAACAAATCACTCAGCAAACGAGAGTTGTGAGCAAGTGCATTTCCTTGATGACTCCTGCAATATGTCTGACGTCACCTCTTGCAAATGGAGTGAGACATTTGTTGAGAATGTTTCAGTGAAGTGCCCCAGTAACGTTCTTTTCCGGAAAGAACAATGCACTAAAACCATGGGCTTGGGATTCTCTCCAAACGTGGACTGACCTGACACCTCAGGCGATAGTATCCTGTACAAACCTACCACAAAGCATTCTGCATCAAAGGCGTACAAGAAATGCCTTGATTCTTCAGCAAAACCAACTTGTTCTTAGTGATGGTTAACCAAGTTTTGGTAGTTCTGGAGTCACTGAACCTAACATTCTAAACGGATACCTCATTCCAACTTCGGGGTGATCCAGGCTTCATCATGACAGCACACTTGCACACAGCTCTCACGTGGTGAATGATTTGTTGCAGAAACCTAATGCTCTGAGGCTGGAGAAGCCATCTTTGAATCCTGATAATAAACCTACTGACCATCCGTGGAAGTGATTTGAAGTGTGTAATCAAGAGGAGAACCAAATTCCAAATAGTCCGAACAAATTCCGCCAAACTTTTTAGGAAACATGGGGCAATATTCCACAAAACAGAATTGTTACCCTTGTTGAAGGCAGCGGCGCCGTCTACAGGAGATAATTACAGTACGTGGTGAACACACACGCTAATAAACACGTGACTTTAACGAGCACACCCTAATGCTAAATGTGTATAAATTTGGTGACATTTGGTGGTGTCAATTCAATTTAATGGGCATTTCTTTACCCCGTGGACATGACAGTGGAACATCGGATTTGAGGGGGTACATGTAATAAATGTGGATAAATGGTATTAAATATGGATATCGTAACCACTAGTTCGTATTTTCTGTACCACTAATCATGTTAGTTATGGTATCTGGAATGAAAATCGCCATTCATAGCAATTAACTCATGTAATGTGATCATTTATAAATAAAAGCACAATCTTTTTGACCAATGTTGTATTTTCGCGAATTTTACCTTTTTCTAAATCTCTGGTGACATAAAGTGATAAATCTGGCTTTTTATGTAAATCATTGAAAAATTTTTAATTCATGCATTGCTTTGTGCAGTGGGGGATTTTCGTATTCAGCAAACGAAAGTTTTTTAAAATGTCAACCCTTTTGGATAATAAGTTATTTTAATATTAAAACACTAATGCCATACTGGGGCGTATAACTCCTTTAAAGACGATAATTTGGAAAATATAGAGATGCAAAATATGTCTTTCAATGATTGTCGTATGACTTAGAATAGGCAGTTTATTTTTGTTTGCTTCACGAATTCAAGTAATAAACTGATGTCACAATGACATCAATGAGATTATAAAAAGTTATATTAACACGATTTTAATCCTTATTTTCATGTATCAGTCAGCAAAGTTGAAAAAAAAACTGAATAATGATTTGGAAAAAATATTCGATATTAAATGTCAATTTTGTAGAAGTCTGGGTATTTTTGCTCAGAGTATACAGTATATAAGCAAGAATTGAAATATACTTTCAGACAATATACTTTCCTTTTATTTCACATACACTGCGTGCACATGCACATACATGTACAAAAAGAAAGATATATATTTAACCGCAACATTATATTGAATTATTTTGCTGACCACAGCCCAGATAGTTACACTGAATATGTTAATGGATACGTGGCCAAGAAACCGTATGAATAATCTGCATAATACAGAAACCCGTCATGGGGGTTATAATCTAGCATGACTAAGGAATGACTGTATTTTCCAGGAGGTTCGAACCTGATCTTATCCGGAGGAAGGGCCACTTGTTCCCCAGTGTTGGTGTCGTAGGTATACCGTATGTAATCACGGTTGTAATATGTGCCGTAAAGCACTCCGCATTTCATGAAGGTGTTTCCAACGCTCTTGCTGTAAATGCTCGTCGTCCACGATTTCTCCACATCGAGAGTGTCCGGGTTTATCTTTGCTATGACCAGTCTACAGTTATTTGTCACGTTTCCGTACACTAACCACAGTCCGTACTCATCCGCAGCAAAATCAGAATAAGAATAATAGTCATGAAAATATTGGCAACTAATACCTGAATTGCTACTCAGGCCTTCTATCTGTTTCTCTACTGCGATATTGTTCTGGAAGTTATATTTTACAATATTATTAGTGCCATAAGACTGGTAATACAAATTGTCTCTATACATAACGTGGCCGGTTCCAGCCCATGTGTGTGGGAGGGTAGTTGAAGCAGCTACATATTGATATTTCATTGCTTCTACGCTGTCGTATGTAACGACGGTCTTACCGTCATAACCTTGGAAAAACCACACTGTGTTTGCGTGGATGGGATCTATTGGTTGAGAATCTTTCATCCAAGCAGACGGGGTGTATTTCACTGAATCCAATTCTAAGGTCAATGACGCGTTCCCTATGCTAAGAGTACCGCCAGCTAGACATTTTGTCCCTGTAAATACCATTTAATATGAGTTATTGCTTAAGAATATTTATTCCTTTAAAGGAATGACAACTGTTCATTGCCAAAAATTGGATTTTCATGGGGTAAAGGACAATTTCCCCATTTTAACCAATGATAAGTGAATACATTTCCATATTTAAAGTTAGTCCCTGTTTTTTTTCTAAAAAGTTTGGTTTTCTGTAGTATTCTCTTAAGACATTACTAGAGAGTGTAGCCATCTATGGAGGTCACAAGAAGAATTATTAAGGTAATTAAAGTTGCGTGTAGGGGGGGGGGGGGTGAAAGGAAAATGGAAAATCTTCTGACCAACATATACCAACATGTTGTATATCATTAAAAAGTCCTTTACTTCTTTTGAGTAGTATTATTGTATATATTCATAAAAAAGTATATTTAAAGTACATATAATTTTCACAGTTTTCTCCAGTGTATTCTTGAGGACAAATACAACTGTAAGTGGTATTTCCATCCACACATGTTGCACCGTTTTGACAAGGTTGACTGCGACAATGATCAACCACTGAAACAGAAAGTGATGTTACAACAGATTCATATATGATTCTTACAGGTTGCTCCGTTTTTAAAAAGTTCCTGGTTAACATATCAGCACAGAAATGTAGCTTTCATGTTAATTTTGCTTGGTACAGGTCTACCAATGTGTGTAAAACATACTTGTCAGAATGACTTTGCGATCAAGCTCTCCGTGGTTTATGTCTAATGTATCGTTTTATATTAAATACAAGCCGAGTTGATTTGATGTGTTAACATTCGAGTTTGATATTGTCTTAAAATCAATACGATAGTAATTTAAAATTTAAACGCACAGGTCTTTCGAAAAAGAAAGGCATGAAAAAAAGCAGAAGCAGTGAGAGAGTGCCTGAAAGGAATGATCTCTGCCAGTCTTTGCCATAGCAGACTTCCAGTGCCGGGTAGTAGCATTGCAAATGAGTACATTAAAAGTTTTAAAAAATCATAAAACATATTTGTTTCAACTATACCTTCACATTGTTTTCCATAATGTCCGTCAGGGCAGATGCATCTATATCCTTGTTTTAAATCCACACACGTTCCTCCTCGCTGGCACGGCCGGCTGGAACATTCATTGATCTCTAAAATATAAATATTTAAAATAATGTTGTATCTTTTTTTTTTTTTTTTTTTTTTTTTGGGGGGGGTTCCTTTTTTCTTGCGGTACAAGAGGATGATATGATTCGTTTATTGTTATAATGCATAAATCTAGCAACCAATGAGGCCTAGATAACTTTACAGTAATGACAGAGTTAAATAACTTATTAATAAAAATGTAAATGTTCATAGATATGAATAATCAAGATGGAATTTCCTTTATACTAATAAAGAGAAAAATTGGTAAAAAATTAAAAGGGGTAACAACTTGGACGCACATTGCACTTGTTATAAAAACACGCATTGATGGTTTAGTTTTGCGTTTAGATCTTTTGAATTCCTCAGATATCTGTAGCCTACTGAGTATATTTGGCACTTAGTCTTAGTAGTAGTATTGTGCAGTCTATGAACATGGCCATTAGATGTGTATGTATAATCTTGTGCATGTATTGAAGCGTCTTTAACTGAATATATATATATATATATATATATATATATATATATATATATATATATATATATATATATTCACGAGTACTTTGTTTACAAGCAACGTAAGTACTTAAGATCAGTATACATTATTTGTGTTTGTGTCTCCTTGATCTGAGCTGATTTAAGTAATAGGCCATGCCAGTTAAAAGAATGGAACAAACTTAAGTATGATGTTCGGAATTTGGCCGATGACGGCTGCATTTATTTAAGGTCCCATTAATAAAAAAGAAATGAAGCAGATTAATGACAAACATTGAATAGCGTTGATAAATGATATTAACATAATATGTCTACATTTAAAGTATAATTTCCAAACAAACAGTGCACACATTTCAATTTGTGGGTTCAGTGCTTTTCTACAAAGTCCGACATTCATTCGTTAAACCAAAATGCGAACAGGACGATAGAATATTCTAAAAGTGGCCTTATGACTCATTTGAAGGATGATAGCGATCCAATGGCTGAATGTCATTCATTTGAACGACTATACACCAGAGAAATGAGTTTGCACTTTAACAGCAAATATAAAATTTATTATATACATGTTCGCAGCACTGATTGGCTCTTGACAACTTACGAAGAAAAGGAATGGAATATGCATTTTGCATGGGTCCTTTTAAAATCAATATGCGACTTAATTTGGTTCGACAAACTCATGTAAACGTCTAGTGCTATTTTCTTTGAATTTCGTTTTTAGTGCGCGTGCATGAGAGAGAGAGAGAGAGAGAGAGAGAGAGAGAGAGAGCGACAGTGACTGTTTATTTCCACGTCTGCATCCATTACTGTATTACCATGCTGGCAAAGATTCCCCGCAAATCCTGCTGGACAAACACACTCAAAGTGACCATGGCGGTCTATGCACGTGGCTCCGTTGGGACATGGGTTACTTATGCAATCATCAATGTCTAATAAAAGGAATATAGTAGAACATGCTTTATCAATTAAAACAGTTGCATCTTTCAGATTTGTTTCTCGGAACCAATGGTGAAACATTCATTATCATCATCAATCATCAACAAAAAAGATAATATGCTTACCTGTACATATGAAAAAGAAATCAAATATTCTCCCAGCGTTTTAACAACAACTACTTAAATACTAACTTGCATGCGGCTCAATGTAAATACATAATATTTTATTATTTTATAGTCTACTGATAGGTGTCACGATAACTTCAGACAACGTCTCTCCTTCAGGTGCTGACATGCACGGTAGTTCAGGCACAGTTTATATACGGCGCCAACTAGAAAAAAAAGCTTGAGAACATTAAGGTCCATGTCAATTCCCAGTAGTCTGAAGCAAAACTTAGGGTGGAAATCAAACACTTCTCGTTTTCTATTCTATTACGAAATATATATTCACCATTCTCACACAACGTTCCTGTAAACCCCGCTGGGCACACACACTGGAAAGAACCTGGTTGATCTATGCACTTGGCACCATTTGCACATGGGGCGCTTGCACATTCAGTGATATCTATTTAAAAGAAACAAAATGCCATTTAACCTGAAAAATCAAGCAATGATTCATGTAGGTTTGAAAATACAAAAATTACCTAAAACAACACACTGCTGTCTACGCCGTTCTTAAATATGAGACGAAAAGATATTTTAAACTTATTTTAAATGTGGTACATGGACAGCATGGACATATGAGCACTTAAAATGAAGTTGGCGACATGATCTACCTTGCTATTTCCCCCAAAATACCACTTACTTTTTTCACAGTTTACCCCAGTGTGTGTTTTAGGGCAAATACAGTTGTAAGTGGTATTTCTATTCACACATGTTGCACCGTTTTTACATGGTTGACTGCGACAGTGATCAACCACTGGAAAAAGACATTTTACTATATATCAACACACGATTCTAATCAAACAGGTTACATCGTTCTTACAGAAACCGTTTGACGAGAAAAACTATGTTTTGATCAATTTACCAGTTACCGCATGCACCTGTTGCTGGATCGGTGGAGCAATACGGGAGGGCCGTTTTGCATAACTTGGAATGCTCAAAATAGAAGTCTCTGCTTTATATATAATTAATAGATGTCCCCCCCGAAACCCCCC